TGTCTCGACCTCGTTCTTTGGTTGTTACCGCGAACTGAAGCTGATTGTCTTCTATCCTTATTTTTGACTCGTAACAATTATGGACATCAACCCATGTGGTTGCTTGAAACTCGAGTAGGCTTTCCTTCAGCTTTCGGGAGGCGTCGGAGCTCAACAGATTTAGACCCTTTGTGAATGCCTCCGCCGCCACTCATCTGGTACCACCGATAACAACATCCTCTCACCTGGAACTGGATCACAAACTCTCGTAGCAATTGAGACTCGCCCTGTGCAATCGTGAATATATCCACCTTTCTAGATTGACCCTTCCTTGCCCCTGCATGGGCTTTAATGAACGAGTTTGCAAGCATCTCAAAAGAGTCAATTGAATGCTTGGATAGAAGAGAATATCATGTCAGGGCCCCTTTTGTGAGGGTTTCACTAAACATTTTCAGCAAGACCGGCTTGATCTCATTCTGAGCCAAATCGTTCTCTTTCACAGTCATAGTGTAGGTTGTGATATGCTCCTGTGGATCTCAAGTCGCATCGTACTTTGGTATGTCCAGCATCTTGAACCCCTTCGGAATTAACTCTGGTGCTGCGCTCAATTTAAACGGCAATTGTGTGTATTTTTTAGAATCAGGGCCTTTTAATATTGGTACGCTCGGAATATGATCCATCTGAGCATGAAACGCCTTTGCATTTTGATCCATTCGTTCGTTCATTTCTCTCATAAACCCCATGAGCTCGATTTTGAGGGGATTATTCCCGTTGTTGTTTTCAGATCCTCTACCGGTCCCTCCAGCTTTGTCGAAACCGTCCTCACCTCTTGGGGTGTTGTCGTCGACCCTCTAAGCCGTTTGGTTTATAGGAGCACTGGGAGGAACCAGGCCTCTTTCGTTCGCGTTATTGGAGGCATCTGACAAAGCTTGTTTCAACTTCATCATCACCCGATCCTGCCTTGAGAGGTGTTTTGTGATTGCTTTTTGCTGTTGTCTTAAGATTTTTTATTATTTCCATGACATGTTTCCTCCGCATCATCGGGAGTTGGCTCCTGCACATAACGAGGGTACCGTTCTTCACGAACCGTGGTTGCTTCATCACCCTCGTTATGGGTGTCGCTGATTGAATCATCATGTTGGGACAATTCTTCGTGCCCCTCAACGTTGTGCGTAATGCTGACATCATTACTGCCATGTCTTTTTTGCTACGGAAAGAATCAAAATAAGTTAGTAATAAACGTAGGATCAAAGTAATTACGCAAATGTCTAAATCCCACGGTGAGTGCCAAACTATTTACCCGTAAAACGGTACAATTAAATTTATTACGTGGTTTATAGACAAGCGAACTGATTTGATCCAAAAATGATAAAGGGATAAGATTGAAAACGAGATTTAGCAATTGAAATTGAAGAAGATGACAAGCCTGGCTCCGAGCGCAATGCCTTCGAGGGCAAAAGTGAATGCAATGATAAAGTGCAAATAAAGTTGTTTAATTGAGAGCAAAAGTAAAATATAGCTTATGTTTGCAGAAATTTGCATCCCTTATAATGGCTGCTGAGCCTGCTATTTATAGTTTTACCTAGGGAAACAAGATCCTAGGATCAAGCTCTTAAATGATATAATAGAGTTATTGATGAATATGTAACAACATGCCATGAATGTAAATATTCTCTGCAACGTTCGCTCATTTAATGTTAGAGAATATTCCCTCATTGAATGCTATCCGATGGCAAACTCTTGATCTCCTCCCGTTAGCTATGCTCCCTTCGGGATTTACCCTATGTCGATTACATTCGTTGTGTACGGTATTAGTTGTTGCTTGTCTTGCCTCTTTCTTACCTTCGGTTCCACGTGTCATGCTCTCATTCGACATCTGTCACAAACCAATTTTGCCCCGTACAATTATATAAGTTGTTCAAGTTGTTCTATAAGTTCAACTCGGTGAGCTATTGTTTGAAACTGACAATGGACACAATTTATACCAATCAACTTCTAAGTTGGTGCCTTCATTCTATTCCTATGGAGATTGGCGCAAAACCAACACCGAAACCCAAGCATGCTCCCAGAAACTTGAGAAAGCACATTCGTTCTTTTCCTGCCTTAAGTTGCAAATTCTTCCTTTCCCTCGTCCTTGTGACTTGTAAGCGTCCGATCTCCCATGGTAATTAATCTGGCCGGTAGAGTGGAGTGTTGTGGCAGGCTTGTGCGGAGTGAGCCCTTGCTTAATGCTTTCGTTGAATTCGGTTCAAATTTTATATTTATCCTATTAAATTCATTAAATATGTATAAATTATTAATTTAAAATCCAATAACTCAAAAAAAAAAAATTAGAATTCCGAACCCATAAACTTAAAATCCTGGCTCCGCCGTTAGTGACAGACACTTTCACTCTAAATACTTGCTCCAACGAGCGAAAAGCTATTTTTGCAAAATCATATAAAAAGAGTGGCAAATTTTGAAAGTCAAATTCTATGGAAATAAAGCCTTTAATATTAAATATTAAAGAGCGTAGAATGAAGGAATATATAGGATCACCAAAGAAAGATTGAGTCGATTGCGTACATGTTTAGCTTATATTTATACGAAGCTAGCGCGAGAATAATACATGAGTTACAATAAGTCTAAAGCTATTTAAAGAATATCGTAACATTTTTACACATTATAACAATATGCCTTTGATATTTCCTAAACGACTAAGCTTAAATTAATACTTAGTTATGAATTCTTAGTTTTGCTTCTCCACGTAATGCAGTGCCTGGAACCGCATTTAGATCATTAGATGTTAGAGCTGTTTTTCAAAATTTTCTCTTTTTTCCTATGAACCAATTCCTTTACATGGTAGAGAACTCTTCACGGTGAACCGGGTCTAGTAGGGGAAACTTCAAATAATTTAGGCTAAATATATAGAAGGCCCCTCAAATTTGACTCTAGTTTTCATTTTAACACTTCAACTAGGGCTAGTACTTATTGAGCACTTCAACCTAATTCAAAGTGTGCATATTAAATACTGAAGCTGATGTATTGGTGGTGAAAAAGAGCTACACGTGGAATATTAGACTGCTGACATGACATAACATGTAAGGGCAATAATATAGTAACACGTGGCAGTTTTATGATAGAATAAGAAAAGGCACGGGAGGGAAACACCCACGAGATAGTACCGAGCCTAATAGCTAGCAAAGACTGAATCAAGATAGTAAAAAGGGAAGATTGAGGAACCTTCAATTAATGAGGAGGGGAATCAGAATCAGAATCGTTACAGAATCCTCGTGGACAGTTACGATTACCAATTATAACGGATCATTAATACCATTAAAGCTCATAATTATTTAGCCATAAATAGAAGGAAACATTATATGTGTAAAACTCTATATAAGAAGAGAAAAATTCACTTGTAACAACATCTGAGACAATATTGGAATATATTGACTTTACTTTTCTGTTTTTTCTCAAAATTCTCTATATTGACTTTGCAATCAGTTATTTCCTTATTTATTCTTGTTATTTTCCTTTGATACCATTGAGAAAGTGAGCCAAAACTTGGTTATCAGAAACCCGTTTTCTTCTAAAAATAATCTTTGACCGAAAGATATATTTTTGGTTAAACAAATTGGTTCCGTTATAGGGAATCTGATAATCTTTCCACTTTCCAATTTTATTTTTCTGTCAAACAACCATGTTGATTGCCAACGACAACAACCAACAGAATCAACAGAATCAAAAAAAGGATGGAACTCCAATCCCTTCACCCCAAAATTCTCCCCAACACTCTCGAGAGGGGTCACCTTAAAGATCAACATCACATATGAATAATCAACAAGGAGACGATCAAATTGTCGAAGATGCATTAAAATAGCTAATTGCAGAACACGCCAATAATGCCCTTCAAGCTTTCGTTAGTGGATTGCCAACTGTACCACCAACTCCTCCTCCAAACAATACTGTAACCATAGAAAACCCACGCACGGGACTTACTAATTCAGGCAGCAGAGGAACTCCCAGCGAATCTCGCGATGGAAGGTTAGGTACCCCAAATAATTCTGATTTACAAAGTTTAGTACTAACTTTGTAGAAGTAGCTCAAGGAACAGAATAATCGCATAGAACAAATACATGGTGTGTCACTCGTGATTAAAGGAGTGGATATTGACAAATATTTACAACAGCCCTGGAAGCCAAGTGCCGTTCCCTTGCTGATTCCAAAAAAGTTTAAGATGCCTGATATTCCGAAGTATGATGGAACAATCAACCCACGAGACCATGTACTGCATTTACAACTGGCGTGAAAGGCAATGATTTAACCAATCAAGAAATTGAATTGGTGCTGGTCAAAAAAATTGGCGAAACAATCACAAAAGGAGCACTACCGGAAAATTCTATTGATTCTTTTGCTGAGCTTGCAGATTCATTTGTAAAAGCACATTGGGAAGCTCAAAAAGTTGAGAAGAGGATGGAAGGAATCTTCAAAATAATACAAGGAGATATGTAGCTACTCAGGGAATTTGTGGATAGATTTCAGCGTGAAAGAATGATGTTACCGCATATACTTGATAACTGGGCGGCCATGGCATTTGCAAGTAATTTAAATGAAAAAAGCTTAGAAGCCATGAGGAGGCTCAACTAAAGCTTACGAGAATTCCCTGCTAACTTGGAATGATGTTCAACAGGTACAATACGAAGCTGCGTATAGAAGGAAACACCATCACCCAGTCATGAGGAGATGAAAGAACAAGTTTGAGGCGACCAAAAACTGGAAAAATGTCCGGTAAGAACAGATATGAACCTTACATGGGACCAGCAGGACGAGATTCACATTATAAATAAGAAAACCCGACGTACGGTTCTGGATCAAGAGGTAGAGATGCGGGTTCTTCATCCAAGTTTGGAAAAGAGACAGATATACGGGATAGCAATGTTAATACAAAGGCAAATATTGGTGATTACAGTTTCAATGTTAGCGCTTCTGAGTTGGTAGCTATTTTAAGAAGTATGGGAGATAAGGTACGGTGACCAAAAGAAATGATATCGAACCCTAACAGAAGAAATCCAGATTTCTGGTGCGAGTTTCATAACGACCATGGTCATAAAACAGCAGATTACAGATTGCTACAAGGTGAAATAGAGCATTTGTTAAAACAAGGTTATTTAACCGATTTGTTTAGTGAGAAGGGTAAGCAAACATATATGGAGAATAGACAAGAGCCACCAAAACCTCCGTCACCAAAGAGAACGATTAATGTGATAAACATAGGAGAGGAGGTCAACGGTGTGACATATACGGCTGCAAAAAAGACATCAAAAGTCACGGTTACCCACAAAAAGCGAGTTCGCAAAGTTTTGGAAAAGGACAACATAACGTTTGATGATGTAGGCGCAGATGGCGTGATGATCCCTTACAACGATTCACTGGTAATATATTTACTTGTGCATGATACTAATGTGAAACACATTTTGATTGATCCAGGTAGCTTCGTAAATATCATTCTTTTAATAGTGGTAAACGAGATGCAAGCTGATGACAAAATGGTGCCCAAAGCACGTACCTTATCTAGATTCGACAATTCAAACATTGTTACAAAAGGGGAAATAATGCTTACTACATTTACAGAAGGAGTTGTCAAAGATACAAAATTTCAAGTGGTAGATACAGATATGGGGTATAATATGATTCTCGGCAGACCTTGGATTCATGATATGGACGTTGTTCCGTCTACTTTACATCAGGTTATTAAGTTCCCTTCACAATGGTGGATTAACAAATCCATGGTAATCAACAGGCTTCTAGAAGTATCAATACAGTGGCAGATTCGAGCATAAAGAACGATATTGCATAAAAAAATAACAATTACAGAATTCAGTTGAGGATTTAGTAGCACAAACCTCAACTGGAGATGGGCAAATGGATATAGGTTCAAGGCCTGATATCATTCAAGAGCTAGAAGAGAATGAAAACATCAAAACAATAATATAAGAACTCGAAGCAGTGCTACTGTTTATACATTGGTCGGATAGAAAAGTTTACATCGGAACCAACCTGAGTGCAGAAATGAAAGGTAAGTTAATTGAATTCCTAAAAGCTAATGCATACTACTTTGCTTGGTCGCATTCAGATATGATAGGTATACCACCGGAGGTGATGACCCATAAACTAAATGAAGATCCATCATATCCACCCGTCAAACAAAAGAAAAGGAAGCAAGGATCCTTCAAAAATCAGGTGATTCAAGATGATGTACAAAAACTTTTAAAAATCGGGTCTATATGAGAGGTAAAATATCCTAATTGGCTAACTAATACTATAGTGATACCAAAAAAGAATGGGAAATGGCGAGTTTGTGTAGATTATACTGACTTGAATAAAGCTTGTCCTAAAAACTCTTTTCCTTTACCGCATATAGATCAACTAATTGATGCTACTACATGACATTAATTGTTGAGTTTTTAGATGCCTATTCAGGTATAATCAGATAAAAATGGATCCTTTAGATGAGGAAAAAACCTCCTTTATTACAAACATGGGGACTTATTGTTATAAAGTCATGCCTTTCGGCCCAAAGAATGTCGGAGCCACGTACTAGAGGTTAGTAACAAAAATGTTTCAAGAACACCTGAGAAAAACTATGGAAGTCTACATCGATGACATGCTAGTAAAGTCAACACAATCGGGGGATCATATCCAACATTTGTCATATACTTTTCAAATTTTCCGCAAGTTCAATATGAAGTTAAATCCCGAAAAGTGTGCATTTGACGTGTCTTCAGGTAAGTTTTTAGATTTCCTTATTTCTAACCGAGGAATAAAAGTAAACCCTTCACAGATCAAACCCATTGAAGAAATATCAGACATACTCACGAGCAAAAAAGAGGTGCAAAGGTTGATAGGCAGGATAGCATCTTTGGGAAGATTTATTTCTAAATCTTCGGAGAAAAGTTTTAAGTTCTTTTCAGTGTTGAAAAAGCAAAGCCAATTTGAGTGGACTGAGGAATGTCAACATGCACTCAAAAATCTAAAAGCATACTTGTCAAACCTAACGTTGCTAGCTAAACCAAAGGATGAAGAAAGGCTACTCATCTATCTCGTTGTATCAGAAATGGCGGTAAGTGCAGTGTTAGTACGTGAAGACAAAGACAAATAATCTCCAATTTATTATGTTTAGCAAATCTTTATTGGATGCTTAAACTCGATATCCTCATTTAGAAAAACTTGCTTTAGCACTAATCATGGCATCTAGAAAGTTGAGACCTTATTTTAGTGTCACCCTATCTCTGTAGTGACCGCTTACCCCTTAAGAAATATATTGCATAAGCAAGAACTATCAGGTAGATTAGCCAAGTGGCTATAGAGCTTAGTGAATATGATATCACATATCAACCTAGAACTGCAATAAAATCACAGGTTTTAGCAGATTTCATGGCAGACTTCAGCTCAGGGATAGTACCTGAAGCAGAAAAGGAACTACAGGTGTTCAATGGGTCTAATACGGGCACCTGGATCCTATTAACTGATGGCTCCTCGAATGTTAAAGGAGCGGGTTTAAGCAATTTTCTTATCCCACCTTCAGGAGAAACCATAAGGCAGGCAATAAAGTGTCATCACATTACTAACAATGAAACAAAATATGAAGCTGTAATTGCATGTCTGATATTGGCACAAGAACTCGGAATAACGCAGATTATAATCAAAAGTGACTCGAAACTTGTATTTGGAAAAGCACGAGACCTAATCAGACAATTCCAATCTTAGAAAATCGGGCAAATACCTAAGGAGGAAAATGCCGAAGTAGATGCGTTGGCTAATCTCGCATCCGTTGCAGAAGTAACAAACGAAGAGAATGCTTCCGTAATACATTTGTTTTATTCGGCACTTGATAAGGAAACTAACGAATTAAATTTCAATTATTTAACTTGGGATTGGAGAAACGAGATCGTTAGTTTTTTGCAGTACGGGATTCTACCTGAAGATAAGAAAAAAGCTCAGTCACTTCGACGAAAAGCTGCCCGTTATTGTTTGGATCATGGCAACTTGTATCGAAAAATATTCAGTGGGCCTTTAGAAAGATGCCTCGGACCTTCTCAAACAGATTATGTGATGAGAGAAGTATATGAGGGACACTGTGGAAATCATGCAAGAGGAAGATACTTAGTAAAAACTTTATTTAGAGCAAGATATTAATGGCCAAAAATGGAAGAAGATGTGGAAAGTTTTGTGGTTAAGTGTGATAAATGCCAACGATATGGCAACAACATGCATCGCCTATCAGAGCTATTACATCCGGTTATTTCACCATAGCTTTTTATGAAGTGGGGGATGGATATCATGGGCCCATTACCGCAAGCCAAAGGAAAGGTATGATTTTTATTAGTATTAACAGATTATTTTACCAAGTGGGTAGAAGCAGGTGCCTTCAAGCAGGTGTGGGAAAAAGAAGTCAGGGACTTTTTTGGCGAAACATTATATGCCTGTTTGGAGTTCCAAAAGAAATCGTATGTGACAATGGCTTGCAGTTCATAGGTGCGAAAATCACAGAATTCTTTCAGAGTTGGTAGATTAAAAGGATAACTTCAACAAATTATTATCCTGTGGCTATTGGACAAGCTGAATCGACAAACAAAGTTATTATTAATAACTTGAAGAAAAGATTAGAGGAGTCAAAAGGTGAGTGGCCAGAAGTGTTACCGGGAGTTTTATGGGCTTATCGAATGACATCAAAAACAGGTACGGGAGAGACTCCATTCTCACTTGTGTATGGTGCCGAAGCCTTAATCCCAATTGATATAGGTGAACCAAGTACAAGGTACACCCTAGAAATCAAAGAATCAAATAAGGAAGAGATGCGAATTAATCTCGATTTGCTTGAAGAAAGGAGAGAAGCAGCTCTAATAAGGACGGAAGCACAAAAACAAATTATTGAGCGATATTACAATCGGAAAGCTCATCTTAGATACTTCAAGATTGGGGACTTCGTCCTCAAAAAGGTTTTTCAATCAAAAAAAGCAGCCAATGCAGGAAAATTGAGTCTAAATTGGGAAGGACCTTACAGGATTCAAAGTATTGCTGGAAAGGGTGCATATGAGTTAGAAACAATGGACGGCAAAGTACTCTCATCAAATTGGAATGTTGTTCATTTAAAGAAGTATTACTTCTAAAGGAAGAACCCCCCCAGGTATCATTTATATAAGGTTTAGTTATATTCTTTTTTAATTATACTAACCATTTTAGATGATAGGCATAAAGCTAGCCCATACCAAATGCTGATATTAGACCTAAAAGACACGCGGGAAGCAAAATTATCCCTGGTCTGGGTTATACCTTTCCTGATGGAAATAAAAAGGGTTAAGCGGTCATCATCTAAAATTATACCTCTGAGTCCCGTATGTATTTTCCTTTTCAGGAAATGGATCGAATGGAATGAATAATTGAGTGCTCGAGATTTCATACTTTAAAGATCTAACACTTGGGGGACTATAGATAGAAGGCAAAGAAGACTGCAAGTCAAAGAAGATCAAAGAAGAATAAAATTCAGAAAATCAAAGAAGACTAAAAGTTAGAATTCAAGCCTGGATCAACCAAAAATCAAAAGCCAAGAGCCAAGAAACAAGTTTGGATTAAAACACCTTTGTAATAAACTTTGATAAAGTGTAAACTCGCGTAGATAAATTATAAGATCCTGCGGGGTACTAAGGTTAAAGACAATGATTAGTCATGGGTTGCAAGATATACCTGATATACCATAGAATTTTTTAAATTTGTTATAAAAAACAGTTATGAAAGAGTTGTAGATGTTAATTGAATACTTGTAAAGTGTTATGTGATTTGAAAGTTCAAGATATTAAACTTCCTCAAATTATTCATGATACTTCTTCAAAATATGTATTTTCCTATTTCTCTCATATATTTACACCAATATAAAGTTGAGATGTCTTATTCATTAGTATCGTTTATAAAAGGACCCTCTTTTATAAAATTTATATCTATGCAAAAATTACGAAATAGTAAAGTATTTTTAAATGCAAGTCAAAGATTTTAAATAAAAAACTCAAAGTAAATGAAGGATCATATATTAGAATTGGCTAAAACTAAGTGTATACTTAGTTAAAACCAAAATATTCAAACAAACCCCAAAATGAACCAAGGATAAAAACTAACCATCCATTCCAAAAAGTAAAAAAAATACTTCTTATCAAAAGTTCCAAAAACAAACTAAGTTCTAAAAGAACACTAAAGAGTAGTATCCAATGCGACATTATCAGCAGCGGGAGAGGCAGAATCCAATAAGGTATCATCAACAGCGGGAGAAGATTCAACTTGAGCAGAAGAAGCTTGAATGCCAACTTCACCAAGAGTAAGTTCATCACCTTCGGGAACGCCGACCTCAGCCTCAGGTGAATGAAAGTCTTGATTATGCTGAGTTTTCTCGATTGCTTCTTTAGCTTTAGCAATCTTAGCATTGAGATCAAAACCTTCCTTGTTAGCCTCCATTAAAGTCTCGAGGCGGGTATTCAAAAAGTCTAACTTATATCAAGTATTGATTTATCTTCAAGGGCTTCGTAATCTTTCTCCCACTAGTCAATTTCATCCTTCAACTCTTCTTTATCAATCAAAAAGGCATCATAAGAAATCTTCAGAGGAGCGAGGGAACTCTCCAAGAATTGGATCTTATCAGAAGAGACATGGAAATCTTCTTGAACCTAAGTAAGTGTTTGAACTATCTCCCCGGCATAAGTCTCCTTCTGATTAAGGAGTTCTTTCAAACCCCTTATCTCCTCGGTAGCTTTAGAAAGTTGCTAGGCAAATGAATATACTAGGATGTCTTTGT